AAAATTACACTCCTCTGTACATTTTTTTCGTAAACTGTCAAATAGAGTTTTTTCCTTTCCGTCTGTTCTCAATATACATATGTATACTACATAATTATATCATAAATTTGAGTAGATTTTATTACGAGCGTTTACTGTATTTATATAAGTACGTAGTTATACACATACATGTACATATATACATATGTACATATGCATAGGCATTCCAAATGTTTTTAAAGTGCCTACTAAATTTACAGCAGACCCCAGCAGCTAGAACGCTTGAGAGATTTTAAATACTTTCCACTTGACTGTGACAGACTTCATTTTTCTACGACCCGGCCAAAAGACTAATTTTAAGGTTAAGGCACTTATATCTCAAATTTGATGAAGCTATAATATACACTAAGATTATAAGTAACCCATGTTGAGTCAGCCATACAGTAAGGCAGTCGACCACAAATTGCACTTGGCGAATTTTACGTAACGGTATTGAAAACGTTAGCCACAGAAATTGTTTTCGTTTAAGTCAACCGCAGTTGGCAACATCGGTTCACTGTGCCCTCGCTTCAATATTTAAAACAATAACAAAATACTATTGACAGCACCCCCTGCCTCCTTCAACTATCCTCTTTCCACCACCCGCTCTCGAAAACCAAATGTCTGTAATTTGAGCCGACTTCAATCCGCCCCGAGCTGAGCTTTCAGTGCGATTCAGAATGCCAAGCAAACATTAAGGACAGATCTACAGTGAAAACTCATGTATCACAAATTGCTATAGTGGCTAAATCAATAATAAAATAAACAAATAATATTCTCTATTTACATACATATACGTACATATGAATATGCATTTTCAATTTTAATTTTAATTAATTTGCTCATTTAGTTTCAATTGCGTGGGTCAATAATTAGCTGTTTCGGCGTATGCAGTCTGCAGAATGTTTACCGTACTGGCTGCATACACACACGCAGACAGACGGGCATGTATACACATACATGCATACAGAAATAAGCAGCGACGCCAGTTAGGGCGGTGGCTGCTGCCTGGCAGCAGGCTAACTACTCTCATGTATTTTGTTGCTTCACTGACTGCAAGCTTGCGACGCAATACTTTTTTAACAGAGGTAGGTGATTTTTTTCTCTCACTCTCGCTCGCACTCTCTCTGTCATCCCGGTTTTTTTTTTCATTTGCCATCAGCACGATCCGCAGGCTTGGGCGTCTACTACTCAAACTCGAGGAAAGTAAAAGCCACTCAGTATAACAAACTGTAAGCATTAGGCAAGGATATTTTTAGCGAACAAGTCCAAGTGCAAACGTGTTGGCAAGTGTAATCAGGCGTAGAATGCTCAAACAAAGACAAGACACAACGACAATGAAAAATAAGTCAAGTCAGGCAACTTGAACGAACAAGGCAACAGTCGCACAGACAACACACTCATACACTACACAAACTGGCACTCGTACTCGCTCGCTCACACAGTACACAGGCATGTGCATGCATATATACGCACTTATAAAAGAAAGAAGAGACAAGGCAAGGAGCGTACGAGTGACAGCACAAAGCGTAAAAGGATAAATGAAGCACGCAAGGGAAGAATGTTGATAAGCAACGTAGAGCACAAGACAGGCAACAAAAGAGTGAGAGAAACAGGCTTGTATACAGTAGGCAAGAAAGAGAAGGCGAGAGAAAGAGAGCCAAAACGGATACAAAGCCACCGGCAGCGACGCCGACAGCGGCGACGAAGTGGCAACGCCGACGCAACTGCAGGCGGCACACCCAAAGTTGAGAAAAAGGCTGCAAATAATGCCGATTATTAATCAGATGTGTTTGATGATTTTTTCTTATCATTGCAATTAAAAGCTGCCAATATATTGCATCATTTATTTTTAAATCAGAATTAATATAAAATTTGGCTGATATTTGGCAAATTTCTGTCAACGCATCCAGCCCACATACACTCAGTCAAACACACACACATGCAGGCAAGAGCATGGCGTCCTTTTTGAATTTTCTTTGCTTAAGCTGTCTGTGGCAGTTTTACTAGTTTCTTCTCACTTTATTAACCAATACTACTTGTTATTGCACTTAGCGTTAATGAATACACACGACTTTAAGTCATAATTCACAAAGTCTCGTCCTACACTCGCATTCACACACTAAACTCCAAATGTACATATACAAAGCGTTATACAGAATTTCAACAGCAGCACTTACACATACAAAGGCACTCAGACAGCTTGGCTTGGTTTTTCAAATTTCGTGATTGCCATTTTTTTATGCGTTTTTCGAACTCATTTTGAATGAAATGAATATTGTAAGTTGCATTTACCTGGCTCGTTACTTATATTACGCACACGCACTTTATTCTTATATTCTGATTTTTCAAATATAAACCGCAGTTCGTTCTTCTTTCTTTTAAACTACTTTCTGTCTCACGTAGAGCTGTCAAACAAACCGAATGCGTTGAAGCAGAGTGTGTGTGTGAACAAATGGGCACATTTTTTTCATTTTCATTCCCTTCACCCAGCTAAACGCTGATATCTATCGATAGCTGTGCAGTCACTCTTAAAAAGGTTAGCGGGGCGAGTTGGCCGCTGCTCAATTTAAAATAGTGGCGTAACTGTCGGCTTTTTACAACTTTTAATACTGCTAACGATCAAAATATTTAAGTAAAGAATTTACCGTGTGATACATAAATCATAAAACAATGTAGGTTAATTTTATAACAAGCTGGTTACTTTTATTCACATCAATAAGATTAGAGAAGTTTTACAAATCAATGTACAAATATTACCATTACATATCGATAAACGCGTAAATTGCACACGCCTGATTTGGTATTTTTGTATATCTAATATTAGATTTTCGACTTATCCGTATGCGGTCGCACACAATATAACATAAATAACTCGTATTCGGCGGGAAATGGGAGCAAAGGAAGCGTTGCAATAAAACAATTTTAAACGTGTATAAGCACACAAAATTGAAGGCTGATTTAACAATATAAGGATGCCGCCAACACCAAAAGGAACATCGCCAGCCAGTCGTAAACGGTACTGCGGTCTGGGCAACCATCTACTGCGACCTCCACACAAAACAATTACCAACGAGAAACTCCTGAGTTTCGCCAAACATATAAATCCGGAATTGCGTAGGACAACGCTCATCTGTGGAAGCTGCCTTGACACATTGCTGAAAATCTACAAGGTGAAGCTGAAACACGCTGTGCAATTACGAAAGACTAAAAATCGTACCGCAGGCACCACAAATTCCATATCAGATGTGAGCACCAGTCAACAACAGACACAGAGCTCTAGTGTAGTATCGGCATACTCTTCCACATCCGATAGTCCGTCAGCAACATCAACCAGCAACGGTGAGGTCTCCTCCAGCACCAACACGAAGCGCAAACGTCTGGAGCAGCCATCATCCAGCAGCGACGATGATGGCGAGTCCATGCTCAGTCTGAATGCTGTGAATGGAACTCGTCTTCCACATATACAGCCAATACCGAAGCGTCGTCAGTTCGTCCACCTAAATAAAGATGTGATGGACATTTATTTGAGTGGTACAACGGGCGGGTAACAGATTGAATATATGTTCATTATTAATAGATTTTTTTGGGAAGTTCTCTGGCAGCTTCTATTAACTCGCAATTAAGACTAAAGAACGTGATGCTAAAACTAAACGCATTAGGCTGATTACGCACTTGCATGTTAATTATATTTTGTAATCTCTGAAGTTATTGTTAAGCTAAGTGCAATAAAAAGCACAGTAAAAACGTTCAACCATTTTCATTTATGCACAAAGCTACAGAAATATGTCGATAATGCATTATCAAAGACGTGATATTCTGTATACAATCAACAAATCTTTGGCTTTAGAAAAATGATTGGTTCATTTTATGAAATTATTAATCAAATTAAAATTGGTTATTTTGAGATTTTTAACATGAAAGCTAGTTTATTTATAAAGGCAGTACGATATACGAAAAATAACATGCGAATCAGTTTAATTAACTTAAATTTTAAAATATTTAGAATTACGTTGATTAATGATACAGTTGGTAAAATCCACTGTTATATATAAAAGTGGGACACGGGTAATTTGAAAGTTCCACACTTACTACAGATACATTAAATGACAATACAAAAATGTATTTTTAAAATAATCATGTATTTTTATTAGCTATTCGATTCATCGATGATATATTTCGATTAATTTGAAATCCGATTTATTTATGTTCTGTTAATTTAAAATGCCAATTATTAAATGTTGAATTCGAAATTCTCGAACGTTTTTTATTGATAATTTATATAATTGTATGCTTAGAGATTACACGCGATAGTCGTGTATATCGAATATAAATCCTTTTAAATATCGTGTGTTACAATTATTTTAAGGACTAATCGATTTAAATTTGAATTGAAATTAACCAATTTACAAAAGATATAAGAAATAAATAATAGCAAATATTTTCAGATTAATTGTGCAATTCAAGTGCTTGTTTTATGTTTTCGGTTTTTTTTAGTTTTGACATTCGGTTGCTCTTAAAGGGAAGATCTTTTAGGGGCCGATAAGATTGATGCTCGCACAAGAGTCAGTAAGTAAACAAGGACATACTCAATACAAAAATTTGAATTCGCATACACCTGCACATAATGAATTCACGTACATTTTCGCATACATACATATGTATTTACATACATAAGTACAAACAAAAAAGACATTTTGCTTATATACATATGTATTTGAGAGTTCTGAATTCGAGATAATAGTTAAAACAGTGGTGTCAGTACGCATATTTCGATATGAATTACTCTGGACGAAATGTGCATTAAATTTCTACAGTTAAAAAAAAATAAATCAATAAATTAATAATAATAATAATTATACAAATTGACTATTTTTACTTAAATGTTAAAATAGATAGGAAATAAGAAAGTAAGCAATTTTCTACTTTGCAAAAAATAAGTCGATACTTCATAGCTGTAACGATGAATTTATCATCAGCTGATTCTGTTATGCACTTCCAAAAGTACGCTATTAGCAGAGTTAGTTTGTTTTATATTTTTAATTTTACACTTTTTAACCATTTGTTATTGCTTTTACAAGTGCAAGGTATTTAATCAGTTAATCAAATGTCCTACATAAATAAATTAATTCAAGTATGAAATACATACATATTTTGTTTGGCATACGAAAGATTGAAGTACTTGAAGAATTGCACTGTTAAAAACAAGTTGGCAAAATGTTAAGTTAACATACGAACACTGTAACAGCAGCAGCAAATACAAAATAAAAATAATTGAAATAAACTAAATAACAATAAATTAATAAATTGCCAAAAGAGCATTAGAGTACTTAATTGGCTACCAACTAAGTTTGAACAGTTAATAGCAATAGTCGTCCTCTAAATGGAGTGCCACAAAATTTGTCAAGTCCCATGCCATACGTCGTGCCCATGCTAAAGATAACAGAAGGCAGCCAAAGGTGTGTATATTGTGTCTGCCTCATTAAAGTTTCAGTGATTTACATTATTTGGTGTTGCAGTACGCGATGGGCTGCATCACCAGCACCAACAAGCTGAGTGAGCTGCGACAGGAGAATGTCTTTCGAGTACGTGTGGCCCACTTGCAGCCGAGCGGACCGGAGGCGCCAATTGTGCGCAGCGGCTACTTGGAGTTGACACCACGTGAATTGATATTCATGTCGCCTGGCTGCGAGCCAATTGTGTGGGCATTGCAGCACTTGCGACGGTATGGTCTCAATGGAGATCTGTTTTCCTTCGAGGCTGGACGCCGCTGCATGTCCGGACCGGGCATCTACACGTTTCGCATACACAATGCCGAGCAACTCTATCCGATGTTTCAGCGCTATATCAATGCGGTGAATACGGATGCCTTTGCCCAAGTGGAGCGGGAACGCGAACGGGAGCGCGTAAGTTCCACGCATTCGGTTTCTGTGCTGATGGGACGCAGCGACGTGCAGCCACATAGCAACAATTATCTGGAGCCGGCTCCGATCCTTGCACGAAGCGCATTGCAGTCGCAGCAGCAACACCACCCAAGCGATGCAATCGCCTTGACTTCGGATTCACCCGATTCGCTGCCAAATCTGCAACTTGTCAATGCCGACCAGGTCAGCAATGGAGCGCTGCAGTCGCCTATCACCCCAGGCGCCTATATCAACACAAGTGCCAATGTCTACTTCGATCAGCCGATGCAACGCTTGTTGCAGGAGCAGAGCAGTTGCGGATCCCCGCACCAGGCCACGCCCACCTCCACGAATAGTGCTCTCAGCACCATGCGTAGGCATCATCAGCATCAGCAAAACTTGGGCGATATGCCGCCCCAGGAATCAGCGCCGGCTCTCGCTGAAACGTTGCGTCTATATGCAAACGTGGATCGTTTGCTCTTCGATAGCGACCGTTGCTATGAGAACATCAACCGGTTGGATCTGCCCCTGCTGCCCCGTGACTCTTCGCAGCATTCGGTTGCCTCTTCATCGCAGCAACAGCAGCAGCAGCCGCAGCCTCAGCCGCAGCCTGTTATCCCAACGAGTTTTCCAGGCGTCAACTACATTGTGCTTGACTTGGATCAGCCGCGGAGTCCTGCCCAGAGCTCACCCAAACCGCTAGGCAATAGCTTTGGCAGCGGACTTTCGCTCTCGAACACAGCGCCCTTAACACCGGAAGTAAGTAAAGTATCCGATACGACGACATTGCCGCATAACAGAAACTCCACGGCTGGAGCAGCCGCGACACCAACTACAGAAATTGTGGGCTCTCAAGGCTATTCCACAATTGATTTTATACGTACCTACGCTCTGAATAAATCCTCTACAGCAGCTAACCATGATGTCGACTCTAGCACCAATGGTCAGCATCAACAAGACCATGGATCAGAGGAAGGGGAGCTGCGCAGCACGCGGCACAGCAAATGCATGCGAAAGGCCTACTCAATAAGCGAGTAAATAGACGAATAGCCCAGTTGAGAAGGATGCCAATCAACGAGTAAGAAGCCAGGGAAAAGACCTACACAATAGATAAATAGAAACGGAACAGCGAATTACCAACTTGATATGAAATGAGTCAAGCGATATTAAACCCAACCAAACCAATATCTGGCCAGACGAATAGCGTGCATAATTATCGAGCAGAAAGCAAAGAGGATCCAAATTGGAACGAGTAGGAAATCTTAGACAGACGGCCAGACGAATAGCATACTCAATTTACGAGTAGAAAACGAACGAGTGAAGAGAGTAGAAAGTATAGAAAATCACAATAAAAATGACAAGGAAACCATGCGCGCAACACGTTCAAAAAGGAAGCACAACGAATTTACAAAAAAAAAAAAAAAAAACAAATAATAAGAAAAGGCGCCACAAAACAAAACAAGAAAGGGGTTCAACGTATTGCCCACTAAACCAGAATGGCATTCAAATTATGGCCAAATGTGTATTTGAATATAATCCACAAATGTTTGTATTCAGAGCGAAAACACAAAAATTGCAATCAGGTTGTTTCAATTGATGTACTTAACGTATATATTTATATTTATTATATAGATTTAACTGTGCACATATACAGACAAAAGTATTTTTACATACACACACACATGGGGCTGTTTTTTTTTTTTTTTTTTTTAAAGTGCTAGTCACTTTTGAAATGTGCGAAATGAATTTTCTTTTTGTGAAAATGCAACATGTTAGGCTTTTAAATTAAAAAGTCGTTAATAATTTATGACATATGTAAGTATGTAGATTGTACACATGTGTACATCATGTATTCGTTAAACGTAGTCAAACCAAAATATTTTGTAGTCTGCAGAACATTAAGTTAATGCTTTTTATATTGAATATGTTTGCCAAAAAATCGCTGTTAATCTTATTTATATAAATTGCTTTATTGTTATCCAAAATTGTTTGGAAATTGATGTATGATGAGTCCAGCTATTTATACAGACTATATATATACATATATACATGTATCTTGTTGGATTTGTATTTTAGATGCAGAAATATTTTAATATTATTTGTATTACTGTATAGGGTCTAAGACAAAGATGTGCAATAAAAATGTAATGCGAAAATATTTATAAAAGCGAAATTAATTTTCATTAAATTTAATTTATTTTTGTTTCCTTAAAAGAAAAAAAATATATAGTAAGTCAAGTACAATGGGAAAGAGACAGGTATATACGATATCTATGTGCCTGCTACAAACTTGTTTACGGTATCGCCTTATTCGCGACTGGCTGCTTACGATATTCAGCGTATTCAGTTGGGAAGCTGCAGCTATAAGGAGGCTGCAATCAACGGAACGCTGCATTAAAAGAGATTTCAGTGGACTTCCAATTGGCAGGAATGATAACATAATGAAAGACTTTATACTTAAATACATCAACCTTATTCAAGACTCTTTGATCAAACAGTAATGGTATGAGCTCATAAATTCATTTCATTTACCTTTAGTAATATTTATTCCATATTTCGTATTCACTTTTTCGTCTAGCTACAGTCAACCCCACATATTTTATAATATCGATCACACATACTTTTTTTTTACCTAATTATACATTTTTATACAAAAAGAAGTTTTAAAGTTTCGGATTGAAATAAAACCCAAAATATATTTTTAAGAGACTTAAAATAAAATCAATCCAATTTAAAAGTATCATTTTTTCAGTATTATTACTATTTAACTTGCGCTTATTATTATTATCTCTTACTAGAAAAACCTACCTTTCAATGATAGCACAAATCCAAATTCAAATATTTGTTTTTCTAACTGATGCCCATTGATCTGAATGTATCGATCACAAAACGACTCAAGCATTTCCAGTGTGTACACTGTACAGGCGTCAAGCATTGAAAAAAGCGCCATGTTGTGTTGAAAGTTTTAAACTGATGTACAGAAATGAATTTGAAATGGGTAAAATTTAAAAATGCAAAGTGCATGGTTAAGATACAACCATTGGTAATGATATCACAAATGTATATTGAATTTTAAACTAAAAAATTTGTTTATACATTGTAATTTATGCACCACGAATCCACTCAAACGTTTCCAGTGTGTACACATGCAAATCTTAATTTATTTGAGCGCAAACATCGATAAACTGTTGGAGCTGTGTTGTGTTTACCGTTTTAAACTCAAATGTAGCGACGGATAGTAAGTGGCGCAAGTTAGTAAATATAATTGGCAAGATTAACAGACTGCATAAACAGTCGCACTCTTATAGCTTCAGCATACATATATGCGACATCAGCTGCAGTTGAATAAATTCAATTACAATTCAGCTGCAATAATATACACGTAGCCGGGGCGAGACACACTCATTTTATTTTCATTGGCTCTCACAAATTACTAATACAACGATCTTTATAGCGGTCTTCGTTCCCCCACAACGTCACACTCATTATCAACAATTGCGGCAGCCAAGAGAAGCAATTCCCGGCTCAATTTCAGTGAGACTTGTGCCATTGACTTTAACTGCCATGGTCGGGCGCATCAAATTGTGTGCACTCTTGACATTTGTCTATTTTTTGACCTTGACAAAATGCGATCTCGGAACGGATTTGGCAGCACGTATTGCACCAGACACATCGCCCGATGTACAGGAAGATGCTGCGAAACAGCTTATTCAGCGTGTTATTGGACTTCGAGCATCGCAATGGTTTCAGGTGGAAGTTAACAGGATTCTGGACCCGAGTAGCTATCAGGTGGGTCAATCAATCTGTAATTGTGTATATACATATATTGGCTGCTGATTATTCAGTTAGAATAATCAAGAAATCAACATGATTTTCAATTATAGATAAGTCGCTTAGATAATGGAAGGGTGTTGATTACTGGATCAAATGGAGTCTCTGTATGCAAGGGCTTCCATTATTATCTAAAGTTTGTGCTGAAAAAAGATTTCGATTGGTTTAAAACGCATATTGAGCTGCCGGAAGACTGGGATCCGCCTAATGTAACACACCGCTCAAAATCCAGCAGTCCGCTTATCTATTATCAAAATCCTTGCGTTTGGAGCTATAGCTTTGTATGGTGGCAATTTGATGAGTGGCGGCGTCACATCGATTGGATGGCCATGATGGGCATTAATCTAGTGATCGCCCCCAATCAGGAGACCATCTGGCAGGATGTCTATACAGAGCTGGGACTAACGCCACAGGAAATCGAGGCACACTTTGCGGGTCCTGCATTCCAAGCCTGGCAACGCATGGGCAATTTGCGAAGCTGGGGTGGACCTTTGCCGCCTGCACACAGGCAGCTGCAGCAACTACTGCAACAGCGGATACTAGCGGCACAGCGTGAGCTGGGCATGAGCGTGGCTCTGCCTGCGTTTAGTGGATATGTGCCGACCGCAATGCGGCGCGTCTTTCCCAATGCCAGCTTCACGCAGTCCGACCGATGGAACCATTTTCCTGATCCCTATTGCTGTGTCCTGTTTGTTGAGCCGCAAGATCCGCTCTTTCAGCAGGTGGGCGCAATGTTTTTGCGCCGGGTCATCCAAGTCTATGGCTCCAATCACATCTACTTCAGTGATCCGTTCAACGAGATGATGCCACGTGTTCGCGAGCCGAACTACGTGCGATACACAGCCAAGGCCATTTACAACTCGATGCAAGTGGTGGATGCTGATGCTGTGTGGCTGATACAGGGTTGGATGTTCTTGAAGTCCGTCTACTGGACAAATGACCTCATCGAGGCGTACCTCACCGCTGTGCCACGGGGTCGCATCCTGGCGTTGGACCTACAAAGCGAACAATTTCCGCAATACGAGCGGACGCACTCCTACTATGGCCAGCCCTTTGTGTGGTGCATGCTGAACAATTTCGGTGGCAACCTTGGCCTCTTTGGCTCCGCCCAGCTGATCCCTAGTGGAATCATAGCTGCACGCTCCATGCCCAACGGCAGTATGGTGGGCGTGGGTATAACGCCCGAAGGCATCGGCCAAAACTATGCCTTGTTCGCCCTTACTCTCGAGCAAGCCTGGAGTCCAGATGAGCTGCAGCTTGAAGATTGGTTCGAGTACTTTGCTTTGACACGTTACGGCGTAAATGATACGCGCTTATCGCAGGTGTGGCAACTTCTGCGGGAGAGCGTTTACTCCTTTCAAGGCCGAGAGCGCATGCGTGGAAAGTATACGTTGAACAAAAGGCCGAGCTTACATCATTATCCTTGGGTTTGGTACAATGTAACCATGGTCTATGAGGCTTGGCGCCTAATGCTGGAAGCGAAGGAAACGGTACCTCTAAATGATAACAGGCGTGCCATCTATGAGCACGACTTGGTGGATATCACGCGCCAGTGTCTCCAGCTGAGCTTCGATCGCTTTTACGTCAATCTCAAGTCAGCTTGTCGCCATAAGCAACTCAATCGTGTGGAATATCTGGCTGGCAAACTGTTGGAACTGTTTGCAGATATGGAGCGAATACTAGCCAGTGGAGAGCATTATTTACTGGGCAACTGGCTGGAGGCCGCCAAGCGATTGGCGCCCAGTGAGGAACAGCGTCCAATCTACGAATTTAATGCACGAAATCAACTGACGTCCTGGGGACCAAATTATCAGATTCCTGACTATGCGACGAAACAATGGTCTGGCCTGATGAGCGATTATTTCCAGCCCCGTTGGAATATGTTTCTGGAGGCTGTAATACAGGCGCTGAAAACACAGACGCCTTTCAATTACTCCGAATTCAAACAGCGGGTTGAGAACGAAATCGAGTTGCCATTTAGCAACCACACCAAGGCATATCCCACATCTCCAGTAGGGAGCACGTGGAATATCTCACACGATATCTATGAGAAATGGAATGCTTATTCGAGAGATACGCTCTTTCTGAATTATTGCCAAATTGCTGTAACGGTAGCGCAAACCCAAAAATCAGGAGAAGAGGAGTGGTAATAATAAAGAAATGCATTAAATGATGAAATGATAATCATTCATAATAAAAATAATTTTCTCTAGATTATCATTTTTTATAATTGACAGATAAAAACTCTTAATATATATAATAATTAAAAATATAAGCTTCAGTGTTGCGTTTTATTTATAAAAATAATTATATAATGTTTGAGTTATAAATATAAAAAAAATTATTTTTTTTTTAGTAAAAATGAAAAACAATTTAAGATATGTTCATTAAATATTATTTTGGAGTTTTTGTTGGTTTTCCATTTCTATTCATGTGGAAAACGAAACGAATGAAAAATAGTTCAAAATTAAACTCAATAGGAAAATAATGATCTGATCTTGGTTTAGCTCACAAACCTACCTCAATTCAAAACATTCTTTCCGATCCCCATTCACAAATTTGCATACATACATACATACATACGTACATACATTGAGATATGAACTTTATGGGTTTTTAATTGATTTTTATTTAAATTATTGTACAAACTAATTTAAATGTAAAAATTTAAACATCTTCATCAATCAATCATACGCATACGAATTACTATGGTTATTTTCTGTTTGTTTTGCAATTGTGTGAAATGTGTTTCGTTTGTGTGTGTTTTCAGTTTGTTGCAACGCACATTACACAGGCATGTACATATTTTATTGGATTGGTTTTATGCAAGTGGTTTACATAAAATTAATCATTTACTTGATGTGTGTGTGTGTGTGGGTGTGGTGGCAAACTACATAAAGTTTATATTAATATAAATTGTTTCTTTCGTTTGTATGTGGAAAAAGAAGTATGGGAGATGTATTCGCTCGTTTTCATTTTCATTCATACACGATATTTCTACAATTATACTCATTTAAAAATTTCAAACAAACATTATCATTATTATTATTATTATTATAATATGCATTTAGTATTTATGTATGTATAAAGTTTTCATCTTTCGTTTGCTTTGTAATGTAGACGACGATGTTTTACAGCTAAGTTTTGGGGATAGGGAGTGCGTGGTTTTGTTGTTGCTTGTTGGTGGCAAAAGTACGCAAAATATGTTAAATCATATTAAGGTATGCAATTGCGCACATTAACCGCTTACATTCTCGTATATTTTAACCAACTGTCAGCATGTATATGTTCCTCTGTTTTTGTGTGTGTGTGTGTGTGGCTATGTGT